ACAGCCAATCAGGGCCGAGGGCGGGGGAGTGTGTGGCACTTAGAGTTAACCCTTGCAGTTGATTCTAAGTGCCGCACATCAGAGGGCAGGGAGTGAGAGAATGTCTACACTACCCTCCTAGTTCGAACTAGGAGGGTAATGTAGGCATACCGCACTTGCAAATGAAGCCCGGGATTTGAATTTCCCGGGCTTCATTTGGGCTCCGTTGACGGAGCCATGTAGTTTAGACGTACCCTCAGAGGGAAAATACACTGAAGATACTTTATTGATAAGTGTAGTGTCAATGGCAGTGTACAATTTAACTCGGGGGGGACAAAAGGGTTGACCTGGCCCATGGAGGCCCTGCCACTCTCCTGCTCCCACACCAATCAGGGCCTAGGGCGGGGGAGTGCGTGGCGCTTAGAGTTAACCCTTGCAGTTGATTCTAAGTGCCGCACATCAGAGGGCAGGGAGTGAGAGACTTCACATGCTCCCCCCGCCCCCAAGCCAATGAGAACCTGGGGACAGGGGGAGCATGCCAAGTCTCCTCCCACCCTGCAAGGGGCTTGGCACACTTAAAGTCAACTGTCAGCTGCTGCTCAGCTGGTGGTTGACGCTAAACACAGCGCTCTCTTGCAGGGCGGGGGCAGGGAGCAAGAGACCTCACGGGCTTCGCCTCCCTGAGGCCCTGACTGACATGGGGGCGGGGGAGAGCGCATGAAGTCTCCTCCCACCACCAGAGGCACAGGCACCTAGAGGTAACTGCCAGCTGTTCAGAACATCTGGGGGTTCTCTTGGGGGAGGACAGAGACTTCACATGCTCCCCCACCCCCAGACTAATCAGGGGCTGTGGGTGGAGAAGCACGTAAGTGTCCTGGCTCTTCCCCTTCCGCGTGAGGCCCCATCCCTTCCAGGGCGTCAGGGCCACTTCAAAAACGTCTGAAGTGGCCCCTGGACAAAAATTATTGCCCACCCCTGGTTTAACTCCTGCCTTCTTTCCCATTTTGGTAGATAGCAATCAAGTCTGGAAGGAAACTTACAAATTAATTTTCTGTAATATAGAAGTTACCCCATGCAGGCAAACTTCACTGTCTGTGCAGACACCCACTAATGTCAATAAAACCATAGGTGGGCACCTGTACAAAGGAACCAACAGGATCAGGCCTGTTATGCTTCATCTTCCTCCACCAACTTCAGTGGGAGGAGGCTAAGGCCTCAAACTAAATGCAACAGAAAATCCCATAAAGCAGTGAGCAGTCTGCAAAACTCCTGGAAAATAAACAAGAAATGAAAAAGGGACATCACACCTATCTCAGTGTGGCAGGCTTTGGTTGTGTCACAATATATTTAGCATGTGAAAGGGCAAATCACTGAGGCACTATAAAAAGACATTCCCTAACTGGGAGGTTATTGACCCTGAAGTGGCCCAGCAGAGAGGCAGACAGATTTATCTGGTTCCTCCTGCACAGCACTAACTGATCATAGAATCATAGAATACTAAATCTGGAAAAGACTTCAAAAGATCATCAAGTCCAGTCCCCTGCCCTCATGGCAGGACCAAGCACCATCTAGATCAGTGGTCCCCAACCTTTCGGGGCTGCCGGCCACCTGGGGGACGGGGCCGCAATCTGGGCTCCAGCCCAAGCATCTACACTGCATTAGCTCTAGCCCCACGAACCCAAATAAGCTGGCACAAACCAGCCATTTAACTGGAGTGTAGACATACCCTATGTCAGTGGTCCCCAACCTTTTGTGGCTGCTGGGCACCCAGGGGCGGGGCCACACACGTGCCGGGTATCTGGGGGCGGGGCCGCTCACGTGCTGCATGTCCGGGGGCGGGGCCGCCCATCCGCCACATCCCCAGGGCTGGCATCGCACATGTGCCGCGCGCCTGGGGCAGGGGTTGCCCATGGGCCACGTGCCAGGGCTGGTCCAGATCATTCGGTGGGCGCACATAAATGCCCTGGCGGGCACCACATTGGGGACCACTGATCTAGATCATCCCTGACAGATGTCTATTTAACCTTTTAAATATTTCCAGTGATGGAGATTCCACAATCTCCCTAGGCATTTTATTCCAGTAATAACCATCCTGACAGGCAGGAAGTTTTTCCTAATGTCCAACCTAAACCTCCCTTGCTGCAGTTTAAGCCCATTGCTGCTTGTCCTATCCTCAGAGGACAAGGACAACAATTTTTCTCTCTCCTACTTGTAAACTGTGAAAATAAAAGCTGTTGTCCCCCCCATCCTTTTTACTAATTGTTTTGAGTTCTGCTGACCATAGTAGCAGAGCTTAATATAGAGTAACAGCAGTCGTCAGAAAAGTGATTGTGAAAGGATATTGGTACATATTCCATGGTCATTCTCTATTAGGGCCTGACTTTTATAGGTTTTCAAGCTAGTCTCATATACAACAACAGGTAAAAAAATGTAAGCAAAATCTGATTGCAAAAAGGGGTATGGTATATTTAATGGCTCAAGATTTTGTTGGTTCAGATCTATATACACAGAAGCACTGTCAAACTGCTGACTCATATTTTGCTTGTGGCTCACTAGGACCCCTAGATCCCTTTCTGCCATACTCCTTCCAAGACAGTCGCTTCCCATTCTGTAGGTGTGGGGGTTCCCCAATCTAGGTGTGGGGGTCCCCCAATCTAAGGAGGGACGTTAACTTTAGAATGCGAAAAGCAGGGTACAGGAAAGAGGGAAGCAGCTGGCTGCAAAATGTGCTCCCTTGATTTGCAGTGCTGGGGAGCAGCATGGGCGAACCCGTCTCAGCGGCCCCCTTCGAGGCCAATGACTGGCCCCGGGCTTCTGCAGCCTCCACCTGCCCCACGGGGAGCGCCCCATGCAGCCCCGAATTCAGGCCGAAGCGGGGCACAGCGCCTCCCCTCCAGCCCGCCCGGCCTCCCCCCCCGCCTCGCCCTTGTTCCTACCCGGCCGCCGCTGGCGCCACCGCCGCCAGGAGACA